TGGAGCCATGGAGGAACTTTTCTTCTGTGTTATTAAACTTCTGATTCTTAAAGGAGAAATATTAATATAACAAAGGGAGTTCATTGAAACTTTTAAATTTTAATATTAAAGTGTGTTCTCATTTTGTAACCATTCAGCTTTCCTTGATAAATTTTCTGGAGTCTTAGATTATCATTTCTAATTTGGGAAGCTTGCTTTCTAGACCTGTTATCCAGCTGTCATCCTGGGATTACTTCATACTGTATTCCTAGGTTAGGTTTGTTATTTGGATCCCATATCTTTCTCTTTTTTAGATGCCCTTTTTACTTTACCGGTATACAGTCTTGAGTAATTGTTTAAGAAAGGTTATGCTGGTGATAAACTTTCTAAGTTCTTGAATGTTTAAAAATGGCTTGCCTTTGTTCCTGATGGAAAGTTTACGTGTAGAATTACAGGTCGGTAATATGATTTTTCCCCTCAGAACTTTGAAAGCTTTTGGTTAAGGAATTTAAAACACCTAGTGTTGTTAATGAGAGATCCAATGCAGATCTTATTGTTATTATTATTTTTTGTAGTAACCTTGTTTATAATCTTTATAATGATTTCTTTATCTTTGTTGTTAGAAAATGTGTCTGATGGTAGGTTTTCATTTCTTCTGGTGGATGCTTTTTAAGTTCTAAGACACTTCAGGTCTGGAGAATCATTATATCTTCTATTTCTTTGATAATTTTTTCACTTCCTTTTCTCTGTTTTCTCTGAGACTCTTTTTTTTGTTTTTGAGACAGAGTCTCACTCTGTTGCCCAGGCTAGAGTGCCATGGCATCAGCCTAGCTCACAGCAACCTCAAGCAATCCTACTGCCTCAGCCTCCCGAGTAGCTGGGACTATAGGCATGGGCCACCATGCCCAGCTAATTTTTTCTATATATTTTTCGTTGTCCAGCTAATTTCTTTCTATTTTTTTTTTAGTAGAGACAGGATCTCGCTCTTGCTCAGGCTGATCTTGAACTCCTGAGCTCAAACGATCTGCCCACCTCTGCCTCCCAGAGTGCTAGGATTACAGGTGTGAGCCACCGTGCCTGGCCTTCTCTGAGACTCTTGATGGGTTAATATATTAGAATATTGATATTTTATTTATGTTCCAGAATATTTCCTTGATTTTTTTCCTTCAAATTCTTCTATAGAATTTATTCCAGTAATTATATGTTTACTTTATAAGAGCGCTACCCTCTTTTTCATTTTTTTTCTTTTTAAAAATAGCAACCTGTTTCTTGATTTATGAGGGAAATACCTTGAATTTCTCTGAGGATGCTAATTTCTTTAAAAAGGTCTTGAGACACATCTCTGAATTGGTAATTGTAATAGTGATTTATAGGTATACCACATTCATTTTTATATTTTAAATATTTAAATTATTTGATAAGTACAAAAGATTATAACAGATAAAATGTAAGTAAACAAATATACATATACTTACCACCCAACTTAATAATTCATTACCATAAGTTCAGCAGAATGCTGACCATGCCCACCTTCATCAATGAGCATAGCCGCTGTGCTGAGTTTCGGATTCATCATTTCTGAGTCTGTCTTTATACTTTTAATGTATATATGTATATGTAAAAATAGTATTTATTTTTAAATTAAAATTTTCATGTAAATGGAATAATACTATATGTACATCAGTTTGGTTGGTTTTTCTTTGTTTGCTTTATCATTGTTTATTTGTCATTGTATGACTATACCCCAGTTTATCCAGTCTCTTGATGGTGGAAATTTTTGTCATTTCCATTTTTTTTCTAGTACAGGTCCCCAAATCTTCTATCCACATTTTTGCAATCTACAAAGCTCTGAAAATGGGGAAAAAATTTTTTTTTTGTAAATTTTCAGCAAACTTATCTTGTGGAATACCCTGACCTGCACTGGTAGAGGCTATTTGTAATCTTTATTGATCTCACTTAGTGTGAATATTTGTATATTTCACTGTAGAAATTCTAGGAGTATAATTTCTGGTACTAAGAGAATGTGCATATTCACCAATACTCAATAATGCTAGATTATTTTCCAAAGAAGATAGTATATGCTCTTTCCAGCAATGTGGAAGTTTTCTTTGCTTAGCTTTCTTGCTAACACTTACTTTTGTCACACTTCACAAGTTTTTGCCAGTGAGTATAAAATATCACTTCTTCATTTTCATTTTTCCCCTTTTGCTAATGAGTTTGAGCATCTTTTACTGTGCTGATAAACCATTCTTCCCATATCTCAGATTCCTATTCATGTCTTTTGGCCATGTTTGTACTAGATTTTTTTTTTATTTCGATTTTTTAATAGTTCTATGGTTGGGTATATATGGTGCAAATTTCTTCTGTCAATTTAGTTCACTTTTTAATTCTTTTAATGTGTTTTTTGATGAGTAGAAGGTCTTAATTTTAATGTGGCTAAGTTTATCAGTCTTTTCTTTATGGGTAGTGCTTTTCAATCTTGTCGAAGAAATATTTCAATGGCATACTGGAAGATATTTCCCATTATTAACTTAAAAAGTTGTATAGTTTTACCTTTCTCGTTCAAGGTTTTAATCCACTGGGAATTGATTTTGTATTTAGTGTAAAGTGGTGATCCACATGCATATTTTTCTCTTAAAGAATAATAAATTGTCCCCTCACCTTTTATGTGATAAATTTGTTTTCACTGATTTAAATGCCATAATGTTTGTCTGTCTATACTTTCATTCTGTTAGTCTGTAGGCTGATAAGTTTTCTATTAGGCTGTCTATACTAATAGCATCATCACCTAGTCTTAATTACCATAACTTTGTAACAGCTTCTATAAAAGCCAACACATATTGACATATAGCATACATATAGAAAGTACATAGATGGTAAGAATACAGCTAGGTGAAATTTCTCAATATAATCACCACGCAGGTCAATAAAGAGAATATTATTACTAGTACCCTAGAGACTTCCCTTGAGTCCTCTCCCAATGGCTAACCTCATTTCCCCAAAAGATATCTGCTAGACTGACTTTAACATCTTATTAGTATGGCCTGTTTTTGAACTTTATATAAGTGGAACTGTATAGTATATATACAGCTGTCTCTGGATATACTTGAGGGTTTGATTCCAGGACCCTCCCCACCCCAATATATGCCCAAATTCCATACATACTCAAGGCCTGAAGTCTGTCCTGTGGAACTCAAGTATAGGAAAAGTTGGCTCTCTGTATTTGAGGATTTCTATATCCTGCAGATACTGTATTTTTAATCTTTGCTTGGTGGGAAAAAAAAATCTGTGTAAGTAGATCTGCTCAGTTTAAAGCCAGGTTCTTCAAGGGTCAACTGTATTCTGTTGTTTCTGTATATACTATGGTAAATATTCTTGTTGTTTCTGCCTTTTTTCCCTGTTTTGTTTGTAAGATTCATTCTTAGTTGTATGTAGTTGTAGTTTGTTCATTTGATAATGGTAGAGTTCCAGTTGCTTCACATCCTTGTCCACCTTTTCAATTTTAGACATTCTGCTGGGTGTGTAGTGATTTTAATTTCCATCTCCCTAATAAGTAATAATGTTAACCATCTTCACATATGCTTATTGGCCATTTGGATATCTTTTGTGGTTTGCTATGTCTTTTGCTCATTTTTATATCAGGCCAGCTGTCTTACTCTGATTTATAGGAGTTCATTATATATCCTTGGTACCATCTCTTGCTAGTTATGTTTCACAAATACCTTCTCTTGTTTCCCAGCTCTTTGAGTCTATTCAGAGTTCTGCTTGTCTTCTCAACCCCTCCATTGCCTTTTTCCCATTGGCACATATCTCCAGGGGAAAAGGCATCAAGAAACTCCACTCTTTAGACTTTCCTTCTTTCCAGAGTCTTGACCTCTCAGGTCCTCGCTGCCTCTGTAGCGTGTCATGTCTTTACACAGATATATTTTTTTTTTTTTTTTTTGAGACAGAGTCTCACTTTGTTGCCCAGGCTAGAGTGAGTGCCGTGGCGTCAGCCTAGCTCACAGCAACCTCAAACTCCTGGGCTCAAGCAATCCTGCTGCCTCAGCCTCCCGAGTAGCTGGGACTACAGGCATGCACCACCATGCCCGGCTAATTTTTTGTATATATATTTTTAGTTGGTCAATTAATTTCTATTTTTGGTAGAGACGGGGTCTCGCTCAGGCTGGTTTCGAACTCCTGACCTTGAGCAATCCGCCCACCTCGGCCTCCCAAAGTGCTAGGATTACAGGCGTGAGCCACCGCGCCCGGCCAACACAGATATTTTTGAATTATGTTCGTTTGTTCAGTTGTCACAGGGAGGGTTGGTCTGAAATGGTCTAGTCAATCATTGAGGAACACAGAAGTAGCACACAAATCTTCCTGCTTTGTAGTTGTTTTGCAAGAAATTTTTTGGCTGTTTGCTCCTCCACATAATTTTAGAATCATACACATACACACACTACTGTTGAAATTTTGATGGGAAATGCATTGAATTTGTAAACTAGATTGGGGAGAACTGCATTTTGTTTGGTTTTCTTTTTCTTTTTTTTTATATAGAGAATAGAGTCTTGGTCTGTCACCCAGGCTGGAGTACAGTGGCATGATTATAGCTCACTGCAGACACAAACTCCTGGCCTCAAGTGATCCTCTCACGTCAGCCTCTCAGTTTTCTTAACCATGAGCATTGTAATCTCTATTTATTTAGGTATTTTACAATGTCTTTCAAAAAAGTTTGCTAATTTTCAATTCAAGTATTGCAAATATTTTGTTATATTTCTAGGTACCTTATTTTTATAGCAAATCATAAATGTTATTTTTTTATAATTATATTTTCTATCTTGGTAGTGTATAGAAGTACAATTTGACTTTGTATAACAACCTTGCTATACTCCTAATTGTGATAAATTATCTATAGATTTCTTATGGATTTTTCTGTGCAGACAGTCCTATCTGTGAATAAATGACCTCTTTGTTTCCTCCTTTCCAATTCTTATGCTTTTTTTTTTTCTTTCTTTTTCTTGTCTTAATGTGCTGGCTAGGATCTCCAGTACAATGTTGAATAGAAGCTGTGATGGGGGCATCCTGATCTTGTTCCTGATTTTAAAGGGAATGCTTTCACAGTTTCACAGTTAAGTATGATGCTTGCTGTAGGTTTATTATAGATAATCTTTTCAGGTTAAGGATGTTCCTTTCTTAGTTTGCTAATTTTTAAATTATGAATGAATATTGAATTTCATCAAATGCTTTCTCTGCATCTTTTGAGAAGATCGTGTATTTTTCTTTTGTAATCTGTTAACTTGGTGAATACATTGATTTATCAATATTAAAACCAACTTTGTATTCCAAGTATAAATTCAACTCTAATCTATCTGTCCCTTTTTTTCATTATTGGACTCAGTTTGAAGATATTTAATATGGGCCAATATTTAATATTGGTCTGTAATTAAAAAAAAAACCCTTGCCTATTTCTTCTGGAAGAGTTTAAGATTAGAATGATCTGTTTCTTAAATGTTTAGTAGAACTTGCTTATGAAATTGTTACTATTGTTTTGAGGGATGCTTAAGCACTGATTTAATTGCTTTGCTTATGAGACTGTTCATATTTTCAATTTTCAAACCTGTTTTGGTAGGTTATGCTTTTATAGAAAGTTGTTCATTTCCTCCATATTCTTGAATTTACAGTAGTAAGTTGATAATCTCTTCTTTTGTAGTAGTTGTTAATATTCCCTTTATCTTTTTTTAAAAATGTCCTTCATAATTTTTTAGCTAAAAGTTTGCCAATTTTTAAAGATTTTTCAGAGATCAAATTTTTGACTTTGTTTATTCTCTTTAATGTGTCCTTCTCCCATTCATTAATTTCTGCTCTTCATTTCTTTTCTTATACTTCCTTTGGAGTTACTCTGTTCTTTTTTTTCTAATTTCTTAAGTTGGATGCCTGTCATTAATTTTCAGCATTTTAACATAGGCATTTAAGGTTATAAATGTCTATGTATTGCTTCCTCTTTATCACATAAGTTTGGGTGTGTAGTATTTTCCTTATTTTCACTTGTATTTTTTGTTTTCCACTGTGAATTCTTTAATTTATGAGTTATTTAAAAATTTAATTTCCAGACATGGAGTTCTTCTAGTTAATTTGGTTGTTGATTTGTAACTGCATTTTGTTAGGCAGCATGGTCTGTATGATAGCAATTGTTTGAAATCTTTTGAGACAGTGTGGTCAATTTTTATAATTTTTGTTTGTATTTGAAGAGAATGTCTATTTTCCAGTTGTTGGTGCAAAGTTTTATATATGTCCAGTAGTTAAGCTTGTTAATTATGTTGTTCAAATCTATCTTTATTTTTTTAAAACCACTTTGGTACAGCGCTCAGTGGCCATGAGACCTTGCCCACAGCCGGCACTCATAGTCCACACGATAGTTTGTGCTGTGCATTGACAATGAATCCGTTTTGCTCTTGTGTGATGAGGAAAGCTTGAAAACACTGAAAGCTTGTTTGACTTTACAGGCAGCTTTACTTGTAATGTAAATCAGAATAGGTAACATATACGTATATGTTTTCATTACGTTATTTTTAAATGTTCACAATTTTATTTTGATAAATGAAAAATTAGAAAAGTCAAGTTTTGTCATTAACGCTAAAGTCGACATTCGGCATGCGCCTTCATATCACAGCTGTGGGCTGAAGTTGCTGTGCGTGTTCATCTGTGGCTGTCGACTGCTGGTACCGAAGTGGTTAAGAGAGCAGAGTTAATCTTTTACTAGACTTTTTCCCCCCAGTTTTTCTTTGTAGTTCTATCAATTTTAAAACGTATTTTTAAATGGTTATAGTACAGGAAAGTTTAAATTTATGTTTTCCTGCCATATTGAAACTTTTACCATGTGGAGTGACTCTTTATATCTAGGAATGCTTTTTATATTAAATACTACTGTTCGATATTAACATACCTAGATTTTTATTTTTCTTTTGGTTGGTAATTTTGCCTGATTTTTAAAATCCTCCCTTACATTTTTGTGTGCTGTTATTTTAATCTCTTGTGAGTATCATGGTATTGAATTAAAAGAATTTTTAATCTAGTCTCATAATCTTAGTCTTTATAATTTTAAATTAAACTTTTAATGAAGATGTCAGTTCCCTAGAATTTGTAAGAATAATACAGAGATATCTCACGTACTCCCTATCCAGTTTCCCCCAGTGGTAACATCTTGCTTATTAAATCTTAGTACCATATCACAACAGTATATTGAATTGACACAATCAATATACAGACCACTTTATCACCACAAGCATGCCTCTCTCCAAAATATTGTCATTTTGTAGTCACACCTACTTCCCTTCCATCTACCCCCAATAACTCCCCAACCTCTGGGACCCACTAATCTCCATTTCTATAAAATTTGTCTTTTTAGGAATGTTACATAAATTTAATCATACAGTATGTAACTTTTTGGGTTGGCGTTTTTCATTCAACATAATTCTCTGGAAATTCATCCAGGTTGTGATGTGTGTAAATAGCTTGTCCCTTTTTATTGCTGAGTAGTATTCCATACTATAGATTTACTGCAGTTTCTTTAACAATTCACCTGTTGTGGGACATCTAGGTTGTTTATAGTTTTTGGCTGTTATGCATAAAAGTGCTATAATGATTTATGCATAGTATTCTTGTAAACTAAAGTTTTCATTTCTCTGGGATAAATGCCCAAGAGTACAATTGCTGGATTGTATGGTTGTATGTATAGTTTTTAAAGAACTTGCTAAACTGTTTTCCAGAGTGGCTGTACCATTTTACATCACTACCAGCAATGTATGGAGTGATCCAGTTTCTCTGCATCCTCGCCAGCATTTGGTGTTATCACTGTTTTTCATTTTAGCCATTCTGGTAGGTATCTAGTGATATCTCAGTGAGGTTTTAATTTGCATTTCCCTAATGGCTAATGATGCTGAACATATTTTCATGTGCTTATTTGCCATCTGTACATTTCCATCAATGAAATGTTTGCTTATGTCTTTTGTCATTTTTCTAATTGGATTTTATTTTCATGTTGAGTTGTGACGGTTCTGGTTATATTCTGGACACTAGTCCTTTGTCAGATAATGTGATTTGCAAATATTTTCTATGAGCCTGTTGATTATCTTTTTGCCCTTTTAAGGGGGTTTTTACAGAACATAAGTTTTAATTTTGGTGAAGTCCAATATATCATTTTTCCTTTTATGTTATCTTGCTTCTAGTGTCAAATCTAGGAACTCTGGCTAGTTCTAGATCCCAAAGATTTTTATATTTTTAAAAAGTTTTATATTAATAGTTTTATTTTTATTATACATTAATCTGTGATCCATTGGGAGTTTTTGTATAAGCTGTGAAACTTAGTTGGAAGTTCACATTTTTTGGTCTGTGAATGTCCAGTTGCTCCAGCACCATTTATTGGAAGAGTATCTTTTCTCCACTGAATTACTTCTACACATTTATCAAAAATTATTTGGGTGTATTTGTGTATGTCATTTTTGAACTCTCTGTTCTGTTAATCTGTGAGTTTATCCTTCCCCTAATACTATACAGTCATGATTACTGTAGCTAAGTTGTGAAATGGGATAGGCCAATTCATCTCCTGTGCTTTTTCACATAAATTTTAGAATCTCATCTATATCTACAAAATATCTTGCTGGGATTTGCATAGAAATTATGTTAAGACCTTATATCAGTTTGGGGAAAATTGATATTTTTACTATGTCAAATCTTCTAATCCATGAAAAAGCCATTTATTTAGATCTTCTTGAATTTTTTTCATCAGTGTTTTGTAATTTTCAGCATATAAATCCTGTACATGTTTGTTAGATTTTTACATATGTATTGTAGTTTTCTTTGGAGTGATTATAAATGGTGTTGGTTTTAACTTGTTTCCACATGTTCATTGTTAGTATGTGAAAATGTGATGATGTGATTGGTTTTTGTGTATTGGTTTTGTATCCTGCGACCTTGCTGAACTCACTCACTAGTTCTAGGAGTTGTTTTGTAGATTTTCTATGTAAACAAGCATGCCATCTGCAAATACAGTTAGTTTTATTTTTTTTCTTTCCAATTTGTTATGCCTTTTATTTCCTTTTCTTGTCTAATTCTACTGGCTAGAACTCTGAGCACTATGTTCAATCAGTGGTAAGAGTAGATATCCTTGCCTCATTCCTGATATTAGGGGGAAAGCATTCAATCTTTCACAACCAAGTATGTTAGCTTTAGATTTTTTTGTAGGATGTTATTTATCAAGTTGAGGACTCTCCCCTCTACTCCTACTTTCCTGAGGGTTTTTGTCATGAAATGGTATTGAATTTGCCAAATGCTTTTTTCTGTACTGATCATGTGATTTGTCTTTTTTTTTTTTTTTTAGCTATTTATATGGTATATTACATTAATTTCAAACACTGAACCAGCTTTACTTCCTGAAATAAACCCCACTGGGTCATGGTGTATAATTCTTTTTAAAGATTGCTGAATTTTATTTGCTAATATTTTGTTAGTGATTTTAGCACCTATATTCATGAAGGATATTTGTCAGTTTCATTTTTTGTACTGTCTTTGTCTTGTTTTGGTATCATGGTAATATTAAATTTTAAAATGAATTTGGAAGTATTCTCTCATCTTCTGTTTTCTGGAAGAAATTGTAAATGTTTGGTAGAATTCTCTAGTAAAATCTACTGAGCCTGGGAATTTCTCTTTTGACAGTTTTAAAATTATGAATTAAATTTCCTTAATAGTTAAAAGGGTATTCAAATATCTATTACATACTGATTGAATTTTGGCAGTTTGTGTTTTGCAAGGAGCTGGTCCGTTTCATCTAAGTTGGCGAATATGTGTGTGTGGAGTTGTTCTTAGCATTCCTGTATTGTTTTTGATGTCTGCAGTTCCTACACTGATATCCTCTAATCTTCTTTTTTTTTTTGAGACAGAGTTCGCTTTGTTGCCGCAGGCTAGAGTGAGTGCCGGTGGCGTCAGCCTAGCTCCAGCAACCTCAAACTCCTGGGCTCCGAGTGAATCCTTCTTGCCTCAGCTCCGCGGTAGCTGGGACTACAGGCATGCGCCACCATGCCGGCTAATTTTTTTTTTTTTATATATATATCAGTTGGCCAATTAATTTCTTCTTTTATTAGTAGAGAGCGGGTCTTGCTCCTTGCTCAGGCTGGTTTTGAACTCTGACTTGAGCAATCCGCCCGCCTCGCGCCTCCAAGGAAGTGAGGATTACAGGCGTGAGCCACAGCGCCCGGCCCTCTAATCTTCTTTTAATGGAGAGTTCATTTCATCTTTATTTCTTGGGATTAATATTTTTGCTATATATTTGTGCAATCCTACTTTTTTGTTTTGTTTCTGCCTGAAAGTTTCTTGCCTAATGTTAGGCTTTTTTCTTCCCTGTTATGTTTTTCCCACTTTACTATTGTACAATCATACTTTTTAGCTTTCTCAGATACTTGATATTGTCTTGGATTTCCTTGAAATTTAAATATTTGTATATAAGGCTAAGATTATAATTTTTTTCCTTTCTCACCTGTGAAACTTTAAACTGCTCCCCAGCCTAGCAGTTCTATTATTTCTTTTCTTCCTTTCCCTTTTCCTTTCCCTTTCAACAGTGTCTTGCTCTGTTACGCCGCAGGTGAGTGCGGTCATCATAGTTCACTGTAGCCTCTAACGCCTGGGCTCGGACTCCCTGCCTCAGCCTCCCGAGTAGCTGGGACTACAGGTGTGCACCCCTATGCCCGGCTTAATTTTTTTATTTTTTGTAGAGACGGGGGTCTCGATCTTGCTCAGGCTGGTTCCAAACTCCTGGCCTCAGCAATCCTCCCACCTGGGCCTCCCAAGTGCTAGGATTATAGGGGTGAGACACCGCACCAGGCCAGTGTAGCAAATTTTTGCCATTGTTGCCTGGCATTTTCATTCTGACTTTTCTTAATTTCAAAATTTTACTATTATTTTATACAGTACATTTAGGCCAACCACCTCCTTTTCAGGTTTGTCATTTTCTTTGCTTATTCTATTTTAGTGCTCATTCCTCATTACTTTGGTTCAGCAGTATGGGCTTTTTACTTTTCCTCTAGTATGTTAAGCCTGCTTTCCTGCCAGGACTTTTGCAATTTGCTGTGTCCTATGCCTTGAATGCTTTTCCTTGGATAGCTTACTTCTTCTGTTACTTATTCACTTACCTTTTCTTGAGGCCATCCCCTTTAAAATTGCAGAATCTCTTACCTCTTCCTTGCCTTGTTCCTTTTCTTCCTTCATTTTTATCATATTTTAATCACTACCTGCCATATAATTTTTTTTTTTTTTTTTGTTTGTTTTTTTGTTTTTTTTGATGAGGTTCCACTTTGTTGCGCCAGGCTAGAGTGAGTGCCATGGCGTCAGCCTGGCTCCAGCAACCTCAGTCTCTGGGCTCAGCGGTCCTACTGCCTCAGGCTCTGCCCGAGTAGCTGGGACTTACAGGCATGACACTCGATGCCCGCTATTTTTGTGTATATGATATTTTAGGCTGGGTCAATTAATTTATTTCTATTTTTGGTAGAGACAGGGTCTTGCTCAGGCTGGTTTCGAACTCCTGACCTTGAACAATCCGCCCGCCTCGGCCTCCCAAAGTGCTAGGATTACAGGCGTGAGCCACCTCGCCCAGCTTTATTTAATTCTTTATTGTAAGTTTTGGTCTATTAAGCTTTCCAACTCATTAGCCATTCATTGGAATTTTATTTATAACTTAAGTTGGGAAGAATTGATAGCTTTTCAATATTGAGTATTTTTATCTAGTAATGTGTGTAATATAGTCCTCAATTTATTCAAGGCTTCTTTTATATTGTATGTTTTTTAAATGTAGCTCTGCAAAATTCTTAAATTTATTCATTTTGCATCTTATGATTTTGTTACTTAGATTCATTGTGAAAATCTATTTGATATATGGAAAATTCAACAAATTTTGTTGACTTAGTACTGTTGAGTCTGATTTTCAGCAGATTCTCTTATATTTCCAATATAGAGTTTGGCATTTGTAAGTAATAAATGTTAATTAAAAAATTTTATAGGCCGGGCGCGGTGGCTCACGCCTATAATCCTAGCATTCTGGGAGGCCGAGGCGGGCAGATCACCCAAGGTCAGGAGTTCGAAACCAGCCTGAGCAAGAGCAAGACCCCTTCTCTACTATAAATAGAAAGAAATTAATTGGCCAACTTATATATAGAGAAAAAATTAGCCGGGCATGGTGGCGCATGCCTGTAGTCCCAGCTACTCGGGAGACTGAGGCAGTAGGATTGCTTGAGCCCAGGAGATTGAGGTTGCTGTGAGCTAGGCTGACGCCATGGCACTCACTCTAGCCTAGGCAACAAAGCGAGACTGTGTCTCAAAAAAAAAAAATTACTTTTTTTGTAATGCTTTGTTGTATTATGTAGAATCTTTGCAATAATGTTGAATGATAAAACATGTATATTTTATAGGTCTTGACTTTATGATCTAGTGTTTCATCTTTAGTATGATAGTAGCTATTGATTCTGATATCATTTATCATGTCAACAGTTTCCTTCTTGTTTATTGAGGGGTTTTATCAGGAATGAATAGAATTTTATCAAATGCCCTTCTAGCATTTATATAGATAATCATAGGCTTTTCTTCTTGAACCTATACATCTTTTTGTATTGTTTCCCTTTATCAACTTTTAGAATAATAATGTGTTGTTCCTAACATCCTTTAAAGGAGATCAGTGAGTTTTTCTAAAGTATCATTATGAACAAATGAATTTTTAGTATACTTGATGTGTGCGAATCCAGTGCAGTTAATTGTTCTTTTTGATGCTCAAATTGTTTCATTTTGGGCTAATAGGAGCTCATTCTGGATGTTTCCTTTGTCCTTCTGACAAAGCC